TCTAAAATAAATATGAATATGCATTAATCATATCTCACTTACAAAAAAAACAGATTCAGTATTCCTCAAAATGAGTAAAAATAATGCAACTCCTTTGTGTAATATATTAGAGTTATATTACATCCCTACTGTGTTATTCCTATGTATGTTTGTACTTTCTTCTACACTGGAAGCTCCTGTCGTAAAGTTAAATTCCTTGTGTGTGTAAACATACTTGGTAATAAAGCTCTTCTGATTCTGATTCTGATATACCATTTTTTATTATTGTGTATTCTAGGCTATATTATTCTACACTTGTTATTACATATTTTATTTGGTATTATTCATCTATTATTATTATTATTATTATTGCCACAATAAAACTATTATTGTTATATTATTGACCATGCTGCTGCTGAACCAGAGAGATACATCAAATAATAACAAAAGTATTGGGATAAAAGTTTATAATCTGGATATAAACACATATGTTACGGCAGCTGCGATCAAAATGAGTAAATGACATGTGAAACTAATGTTACGCTTCAAATAAAGATTGCATCTTTTACACTGTTATGCCAGTAGGTGGCGACCAGTGACTGTTAAAATGTAGGCCTGATTGATGAGATTCGTTCAAAAACTAGAGTCTTCTTTCATGATTTTGTTTTTTTTTGTGAATTCATTTAAATCATTAAATATTTTTAATAGGCTCAACATGTTGGACATTTATAGATAGACTCATTTATAACATTAAATAGAATATTTTGTCAGAACCTCAAGTAAATTAGCTTACATATTATTTTCGTTGGTTGCCTAATGTTTTGTTTTTAGAATCATGCGGCAACAGATCTCTATTATGTATATCTATCTCTAAAAAAAGAGCTGTTTTTAGACTAAAGAGATAGTTTTGAGTTCTGAAATTTAGAAGATGTTTACAATGACCTCGTAAATGTCAAAAGGTCAAGGGAATTTTGGTTTCTCAGTGTATGACCCCTTTAATTGTTTGTTGAAAATTCTGATCAAATAAACAGCAGTAAAACCAAGAAATCACATGTGTTTTTGCATTTTCTGTCAGAAAACCTGATCATCAGCAATGCTAAACCTCTTCAAGTTTATTATCTGGATATAAACACATTTGTGACCCTGGAGCACAAAAGCAGTTATAAGTAGCACAGGTATATTTGTAGCAATAGCCAACAATACATTGTATGGGTCAAAATTATCCATTTTTCTTTTATGCCAAAAATCATTAGGATATTAAGTAAAGATCATGTTCCATAAAGATATTTTGTAAATTTCCTACCGTAAATATATCAAAACTTTAAAGATGATTTTCTCAATAGTTAGATTTTTTTGCACCCTCAGATTCCAGATTTTCAAATAGTTGTATCTCGGCCAAATATTGTCCTATCCTAACAAACCATACATCAATGGAAAGCTCATTTATTCAGCTTTCAGATGATATATACATCTCAATTTGTGAAAATTGACACTTATGACTGGTTTTGTACTCCAGAGTCACATATGTTACGGCAACTCTGATCAAAATGAGTAAATGACATGTAAAACTTCAAATAAAGATTGTATCTATTACACTGTTTTGCCAGTAAAAAAAAAAAAAAATAAGTAACGTAATTAGTTACTTTTTTTATGGAGTAACGCAACATTGTAACGCATTACTTTTAAAAGTAACTTTCCCCAACACTGATAACGGAGGATTCTAAAAGGTTTTCTTATTTTAAATGACGCTTCTCATCCAGCGTGTGACGTTCTGCAAGATTCTAAGTAACTGGAGACAGATTTATTTTTATAAACAACAGTAACATGTGCAAAATCCATTTTTTTTAATATGGAAAATGTATATATTCTACTCTATTCTAGGCCTCTTGTGTTTTTCAAGGCACTTTGTGACTTTTCTTACTTCACACACAAAAAAAGAGCAAAACTTTGACAAGTCTTTGCTTCTGACCTTCGATGATCCAGTTCAACCGTACTAATAAGCAAAAATGACTCTAGACAACATTTGTGTGTCTTTTTTTATTGCTGAAGTGTGTTGAAATGTCTTCTTCTGCATTCTACAGTACGGACGTAAATTTACTTTCCCTTCAGCCTGAGGCTTATTCATCACTTTTGGTGTGAAAAGGCTTTTATATTTGCCAAAAATATAACTTTTTTTATTTTAAAAACAAACAAGCAAGCCCTGTCCAGATTTAAAAAGTAACGCAAAAGTAACGTAACGCATTACGTTCCATAAAAAGTAACTAAGTAACGTAATTAGTTACTTTTTTTATGGAGTAACGCAACATTGTAACGCATTACTTTTAAAAGTAACTTTCCCCAACACTGATAACGGAGGATTCTAAAAGGTTTTCTTATTTTAAATGACGCTTCTCATCCAGCGTGTGACGTTCTGCAAGATTCTAAGTAACTGGAGACAGATTTATTTTTATAAACAACAGCAACATGTGCAAAATCCATTTTTTTTAATATGGAAAATGTATATATTGTACTCTATTCTAGGCCTCTTGTGTTTTTCAAGGCACTTTGTGACTTTTCTTACTTCACACACAAAAAAAGAGCAAAACTTTGACAAAATTTGAGTCCTTGATGATTTCATATTTTATAATAGTGATTTTATAAATTCAAAGTATAAAGCAAAAAGTAACTAATACTAATGACTAATAAGCCAACAAGTGCTCCTCTGCTGCCATCTACTGTTTGTAGTGATAATTTGGTGTCTTTTGTTCACCACAAGGTATATTTAGGTTTAAAGGGGATCATTTTAGAGCTTTAAAGTGCTGGAAATAGTTGTGTGAAATGCTTGCAAGTCATTGAAAAATGCTTGAATTTCTCTCTCAAAAGCCTGTACTAACCTTGAAATGAATAATGTCAAGTCAAGTCACTTTTATTTATATAGCGCTTTTAACAATACAGAAAAATAGTTTGTTTTCAAAACAGGAAAATAGTGTGTCAATAAAGCAAAAGGACAGCAGTGAACACTCATTTCTCAATGGATCTCTGTGCATTAATGTGTCACCAGATCAACACTGGTTCCCAAGTAAACCAGTTTGCAAACCAGTTTGCTGATTTTTGTAAAATAACTTCTGTTTTTTGCTTTTCAAATAAAAGAGTAGTTTCAGTTAAATATGTTGCAGGCTCATTCATTGGTAATAAATTGTTGACAATAAATAATATTGAAGATAATAAATCCCATTAAAAATAACATTCAAACTGGATCATTTTAGAGCTTTAAAGTGCTGGAAATAGTTGTGTGAAATGCTTGAAAGTCATTGAAAAATGCTTGAATTTCTCTCTCAAAAGCCTGTACTAACCTTGAAATTAATAATGTCAAGTCAAGTCACTTTTATTTATATAGCGCTTTTAACAATACAGAAAAATAGTTTGTTTTCAAAACAGGAAAATAGTGTGTCATGAGTCCTTGATGATTTCATATTTTATAATAGTGATTTTATAAATTCAAAGTATAAAGCAAAAAGTAACTAATACTAATGACTAATAAGCCAACAAGTGCTCCTCTGCTGCCATCTACTGTTTGTAGTGATAATTTGGTGTCTTTTGTTCACCACAAGGTATATTTAGGTTTAAAGGGGATCATTTTAGAGCTTTAAAGTGCTGGAAATAGTTGTGTGAAATGCTTGCAAGTCATTGAAAAATGCTTGAATTTCTCTCTCAAAAGCCTGTACTAACCTTGAAATGAATAATGTCAAGTCAAGTCACTTTTATTTATATAGCGCTTTTAACAATACAGAAAAATAGTTTGTTTTCAAAACAGGAAAATAGTGTGTCAATAAAGCAAAAGGACAGCAGTGAACACTCATTTCTCAATGGATCTCTGTGCATTAATGTGTCACCAGATCAACACTGGTTCCCAAGTAAACCAGTTTGCAAACCAGTTTGCTGATTTTTGTAAAATAACTTCTGTTTTTTGCTTTTCAAATAAAAGAGTAGTTTCAGTTAAATATGTTGCAGGCTCATTCATTGGTAATAAATTGTTGACAATAAATAATATTGAAGATAATAAATAATCGAAATGTATTGGGGTTGTTTTTGCGGTTGCTTATTTTTCTCGCGAGACTTGGCTGCGCTCAATTATTGGACGGTTTTTGCATTTGCTATTTAATGTTCCTCTTGTGCACCAGAAATGGCAGCGCTTATGAGTTGGGCAATGTGGTGCATCAGTGCGAACGCTCACAAAATTTAGTCGCACTGGCAAAGAAATTGCAAAATGTGATAAAAGTCTATAAACAAGTTTTTTGCATTCTTTCTCCTTGTGAAGAAGAGGAACACTCATTTCTCAATGGATCTCTGTGCATTAATGTGTCACCAGATCAACACTGGTTCCCAAGTAAACCAGTTTGCAAACCAGTTTGCTGATTTTTGTAAAATAACTTCTGTTTTTTGCTTTTCAAATAAAAGAGTAGTTTCAGTTAAATATGTTGCAGGCTCATTCATTGGTAATAAATTGTTGACAATAAATAATATTGAAGATAATAAATAATCGAAATGTATTGGGGTTGTTTTTGCGGTTGCTTATTTTTCTCGCGAGACTTGGCTGCGCTCAATTATTGGACGGTTTTTGCATTTGCTATTTAATGTTCCTCTTGTGCACCAGAAATGGCAGCGCTTATGAGTTGGGCAATGTGGTGCATCAGTGCGAACGCTCACAAAATTGAGTCGCACCGGCAAAGAAATTGCAAAATGTGATAAAAGTCTATAAACAAGTTTTTTACATTCTTTCTCCTTGTGAAGAAGAGAGTTATGTTTGGAGTTCTGGTGATATGATATTTTTGCCATATCGCCCACCCCTAATTTCTATATTATGTGTAATTATGACATTGCACATCAAACAGCAAAGCTTAATAAACCATAGCTTTTAGAAAATAAAGCACTTCAAATTATGTAGAAGCTGCATAAGCTTTCCTTAAGAAAGGAAGTGGAAACACGTTGTGGTTGAGTGTCTCTGCACTGCAAGGAAACCTGCAGTTTGATCGATTCTGTGACGAACGAAAGACAATGGAGAAGGTCATGCTCTTTTGTGTTTTTTCCTACTTGACTGTTCAGATCACTTCGAGCGGTAAATATATTCTCCTTTACAATTTCACATCATTGACCTTATCATCCTTAAATATAATCAATGTTTTAATCATTTCAAAGCATCAGTTTATGATGTTTTCCAGATGTTTCAGAACATGATGTGAGTCTGTTAAGATTGCGGCTGAATGAAAGCATCTCTCTGAACTGCAGCATGACCGACACATATGAAATAGCCTGGTATCACCAGAATCCTGAGTCTGGACGACTAACACTACTGATATTTGCCATGGGCCGCACAAAAGAGCTATATACAATTGATCAAAACAGTCGCGTGAGAGTTAAAGTAGATATGTGGAGCAAAACAATCTCACTACTTATTTCTGGACTGACAGAGTCAGATTCAGGTCTTTATTTCTGTGGAACAAAATCAAATCCAGTTTCAGAAATGCACTTTGAAAAACCCATCAGAATACAGATCGAGGGTTAGTTCTGCTGACTTTTCAATTCCTCTCAAATTGTCATACTGTTCTTAATACTGAGAATTATTTCACTGTTTCTCAATTTATTTCAATCATCACTAGTACTACACTCATAAAAACAAAGTTTCCAAAAATTATGTTTTTTTACTCACTGCAATGCCACAGAAGAACCATTTTTGTTTCCACAAAGAACCTTCTAGTGATCAGTTCTTAAACAAAGCAGTGTGAAGAACATTTGAATCATCTATAGAACCGTTTTCCGCTCTAAAGAATCTTTTGTGCAATGGAAAGATTCCGTGGATGTTAAAGGTTCTTTTTTATGCAGTGCTTGTGCTCCAGATTCCTGAAATCATGAGTGTTGTTGAGGAGTGATCGTATATCTAAAGTGATCATATATTTCAAATATTTTCAGACAAGCTGACAGACAGAGAGGACGAAGCTCATTCTGATGTTGCGATCACAGGTGAGAGCAGAAATCATTCTTGTTCGTGTCTCAGTTTATTTCAGGAACTCTTCAAGTGCAATTTTATCACAGTTCAAACCCAGCACAGCCAATCAGAATCTGTGTTACTTTATTCTGTTGTTTACTGAATGTTTTCTGTCTGTCTGCAGACGAGGTGACGCTGACGGAGCGTGTGATTATATTCGGTGGTGTTGGTCTGGCTGTGCTGGTGTTTTTTCTGGCTATAATCATTGCAGGAAGAAACATTTACTATCACGGCTGGCAGAAAGGATGGATCGCAGCCGAACATGCTGGTCTGAATGTTCAAAATTCACCTAAATGACACATTTGTGAGGTTTATTATCACAATAATCAGCATTTTTGTACGTTACACCAGTGGTGGCTCACGAATGTGATTCAGATGTGTTTCTGTCGGCCAGATCTCACTTAGACGTCTGTTGTGGCAAAGCTCTGGAGGAGCATTAACATGTAGCTACACATAATCTGAGTTCATGAGAAAATATAAATGTCATCTGTTTCATGGCATAGACAGCAGTAAAACTAAGAAATCATGCCACGTCGTATTTTTGATGAAAAAGTATAGAAATTATAATTTTTTTCAAATGTGATGTAGACCTAAACATACTGTCTGTGACTACAAATAAACAGAAACAGATGCGAATGAATAAGTGTGTGCCGTCTTTCTTTTGTGAAATAATGGTGAAAATGTTATTATTTCTGTGTGACTATTTTGCGATCCTGAAACAAATTAATTTATTATGATCAATGTATCACTTATTATTGTAAAACTGATACAACATCAATGCTGTGGTTTTAAATGTCTAATTAAACTACAAACAAATGGGTGCTTTTTTCATGTTCGTTTTGTGATTTCACTACAGTTCCAGTTATTTATTTCTGATTAGTTTTCTGATCAAACTTTTCTTTGTTGGTGAAATGCTGCGGCTGTGAGACAGAAACCTCTCGGGATTCATTGAAAATATCTTCAGCTGTGTTCTGAGTTGAATGAAAGTCTTAGAGAGCGGAACAACACGAGGGTAAGTAAACAAGCAAGTAAATACGTTTAAACTCAGCTTACACTGACCAAAGTGCTATATAAAAATAATGATAAATTACAATAAAATATGAAATGAAATAGAGTAGAATAAAAAAAAAACTTTTGGTGAAAAGTCTGATTAGATTGTTTAGATGTTATATTTTTGACTATACAGCCCACTGATTAATGCTTGAAAACATTTTACAAATGTTGCGTTTCAATAAATACGTGGGTCAAACACGTTAAGATGTCCGCATCGAAAGAAATGTACAAAAGTGATTTTATGTTCATAGAAAGCACATTAAATGTAAGTAAAGTGTCTACTTTTAAGGTTTTGGAGAATAAAATGTCAAAATTTGGTTGCAATAATGTTACATTGTCATTCAGCGGAACACAATATTTATGTAAAAATTCAAACAACATGCTTATTCTGACCTGTACATATTAAAATATATAAAAGAATAAGGGAGCATATAAAATTTTATTGTGTTTTACATGAGTAAAAAATTCTTACTGACAAATGGGCGAAACATAGGATAGTGGCACATTTAAAAAATGTAAAATTACTACTAATTAGTATTTGGGGTGAAAGTAATTAGTCTTTTAATGTGTCATAAATTGATTTTTGTTGTAAATATGCCTGACAAGATTGTTACACTGAATGATATTTTAGTGGGTCTCTTCTGTAAATCAGGGAAAAATGTATCATATTTATGTTTTGCTCGGAAAAACAAAAACAAAATTGCAATTAAATTAAACAGAAAACTTGTAATTTTTTTGGGGGAAATACAACAACAATTTAAATCAGTATTACACTTATTGTTTTTATGCTTAAACCCTTTTTTGTCTTTGACCCACATTTGACCCTCCTGTTCTGTCATCATTACTTTGTTCCAATGTTAATTTTTGCTAATGTAACTTTATTATTTTGAGTTTGATTAACTTAAACCATTTAAGGCAATCAGTTTCCTCAAACCATTTAAGTAGCTATATAGCTGTTTAGACTTAGATTTGTTACCTGAATTCAAACAGACTGAGTGGAATACACTTATAATTGACTAAACAACACTTTAAAAATACAAGTGACTCAATGTATAGGAGTTTACAGTACTCATATTTATTGGTTTTAAAACTTCTGTTCAAATAGTTTGAGATAGCTTGATGATTTTCACAGCGTTAAGAAAGGAAGTGGAAACATGTTGTGGTTTAATGTCTCTGCACTGCAAGGAAACCTGCAGTTTGATCAATGCTTTTACAGACGAAAGACAATGGAGAAGGTCATGCTCTTTTGTGTTTTTTCGTACAGGATTATTCAGATCAGCTCCAGTGGTAAGTTTATTCTCCTTTACGATTTCACATGCTTGATCTTTTTTAGCATTAAATATAATCAATGTTTTAATCATTTCAAAGGATCAGTTTATGATGTTTTCCAGATGCTTCAGAACATGATGTGACTCTGTTAAGATTCCGGCTGAATGAAAGCATCTCTCTAAACTGCAGCATGAACGGAAAAATCAGAATGGCCTGGTATCACCAGAATCCTGATTCTGGACGACTAACACTACTGCTGTCTACAATCTATCAAGCCTATCGAAGCTATCAAAGCCATCGCATATTTGCAAGAACAGGGACCAACACAGCCTTGCTAGTTATTACTAATCTAACGGAGTCAGATTCAGGTCTTTATTTCTGTGGAACAGGACATACATTTCATTCAGCAATGCACTTCGACAAACCCATCAGACTAGTGATGGAGGGTTAGTACAGCTTTCCAGTTTCTCTCAAATCTTCATACTGTTTTTAATGACTGTTCTATTTGACTGTTTCTGAATTTATTTCAATCATCATTTTTACTGCAATGCCATAGAAGAACCATTTTTGTTTCCACAAAGAACCTTCTAGTGATCAGTTCATAAAAGAAACATTGTTTCCTATAGTGTGAAGAACATTTGAATCATCTACACTCTTAAAAATAAAGGTGCTTCACGATATCATAGAAGAACCTTTTTGTCTAAATGGTTCCATAAAGAACCTTTAACATCTGAAGAACCTTTCTGTTTCACAAAAGGTTCTTTGGGGCGAAAGAAGGTTCTTCAGATTATAAAAAGGTAAGAAAGAGATGGTTCTTTAAAGAACCTTTGACTGAATGGTTCTTTGTGGAACCAAAAATGGTTCTTCTATGGCATCGCTTGAAGAACCTTTTGAAGCACCTTTATTTTTAAGAGTGTATAGAACTGTTTTCCATTATAAAGTATGTTTTGTGCAATGGAAATATTCTGTGGATGTTCTTATTTTTATGCAGTGTTTGTGCTCCAGATATGAATGATTCCTCAAATCATGTGTGTTGTTGAGGAGTTTGCTGCTGTAATAATATTGAAACTCTTTGTGTTTGAGTAAGTGATCATATATTTAAAATATTTTCAGACAAGCTGACAGACGGAGAGGACAAAGTTAATTCTGTCACAGATCCGCCAGAGGATGCTGAGATCACAGGTGAGAGCGGAAATCATTCTTACTCATATTTTATTTTAGGAACTCATCAAGTGCAGTAGTGTATTTGTTATAGGTTATGCAAATTTTAATCATCTAAAGAACCTTTTGTCCAATGTAAATATTACATGGATGTTAAAGGTTCTTCATGCATCCATCAAAGCAAATTAAAAACCTTTTTTTTTTAAATGAGTGTAACTGTTCATACTTACTGAGCAACGTAACTACTTGTCACATTATTATAGAATGTGCATCACATTGCATGTAATTTTAGCGTGATTTTATCACAGTTCAAACCCAGCACAGCCAATCAGAATTAGTGTCTGAACTATGTGTTTCTTTATTCTGTAGTTTAATTGGTTTATCTGTCTGTCTGTATCCTCTACAGTCGAGGTGATGCTGTCGGAGCGTGTGCTGATGTTCGGTGGTGTTGGTCTGGCAGAAAACAAAAGGTAATCCAACGCAGAGTAACAGAAAACACATAACAGAAAACAATAATCCAGCAACCAAAAACTAAATGAGCATGGAATATATCAGGGTGAGCTAATAAGACTAATGACACACAGCTGGAAACAATGAGAACTAATAGACAGAGCAAAGGGTGATGGGAAATGAAGTCCAGAACAAACAAACTACAACCCAAAAGGAGTGCCCTCTGGTGGCTGTTATGGGCACTCCAGCAGATGGCTGTGACAAATTGCCCCTGCACAATTAAACAATGTATTATGGCTGTCACGATTAAAATGACGTGCAAATGAATGAAAAGTATTCACTCACACTGCATCAGATTGCTTTTTACGTGCTGTCTTTTGCAGCGTTGAGTTTTACAACCAATCACACGCGTTTCTGTTGAACGTAGGAATGCATTGGCCAATCAGAGGCGCCTAGATTAGTCAGCGTTGAAAAGGCTGTAGCTGTGAGTGTGCACGCTTGTGAATTCCCTCATCGTAAACAACCAAGGCATTAAACTGCCAAAATTTTAAAAGACGATATCTCCGTTTGCATTGATCTTTCAGCTTCGTAACTTTGCAGATATTGTTTATGCTCAAACAGCAACATTACACACTAACTAACGTTAAAAAAGTGAAATCGCAATGAACCACCCCTTTAAGTATTAAAAGTAAAAAGTAGGCCTACTTATTGATAAACGTTTATTTATTTTGTAATTCTATACTCCTGCTAAAAATACATGTCATAACACTAATAATTTCTACTAAAAATTACTGATAATTCAAGTGTGCAAACACGTGAAAATAACTAAATATAACATAGAAAAAATTTTTGTTGCCGAATATAAACATACAATATAAAACATACGCTACATTGGGCAAAATGTGTTAGTATTTAAGAACTCTATGCAAACATGTTTTTTTTTGGTTACAATATTTATTCATCTTTGTTAACGTTAATTAATAAAATACAGCTGTCCATTGTTAGTCCATGTTAGTTCATGATCATTAATTAATTTTAAAAGATGTTACTTTGGATTTTAATAAAGCATTAGTAAATGTTGTAATTAATCTTAACTGAGTTTAATAAATGCTTTACAATTATTTTTCTTTTTTAGTTCATGTTCACTAATTATTAGTATACTAATACTATTGTCACGCCCTTGGACTGTCTTGTGTTTGTTTTCCTCCCCCATATGCCCCATGTGCTCCCCATGACCCAGTTTCTCCCTCATGTTGATTGTTTATTGATTAATTCAAGTGTGCAAACACGTGAAAATAACTAAATATAACATAGAAAATGTTTTTGTTGCCGAATATAAACATACAATATAAAACAGACGCTACATTGGGCAAAATGTGTTAGTATTTAAGAACTCTATGCAAACATGTTTTTTTTTGGTTACAATATTTATTCATCTTTGTTAACGTTAATTAATAAAATACAGCTGTCCATTGTTAGTCCATGTTAGTTCATGATCATTAATTAATTTTAAAAGATGTTACTTTGGATTTTAATAAAGCATTAGTAAATGTTGTAATTAATCTTAACTGAGTTTAATAAATGCTTTACAATTATTTTTCTTTTTTAGTTCATGTTCACTAATTATTAGTATACTAATACTATTGTCA